CCCCCCCCCCCCCCCCCACGCCAAGCCGGGCGCCGAAGCGCTCGCCGCCATGTTGGGCCAGGCTCCGTTTCCTCCTCACCGACGCTCCCGCCGACGCTCACCTTGGGCCCCCCGTTGGCCCCCGAGCACCAGCGCCAGCAGCGCCAGCCTAACGGGCGGGGGGAGGGCGCGGAAAGCAGCGCGAGCCGGACCCCCCGCCATGGCAACGGCTCCGTGGCGACTGCAACGCCGGAGGCAGAGACAGCCTCGAGTTCGCCCCAGCTCACGCGGGCTCTGAGGAGACGCGAGCGGCAGTAGCGACGGCGGCAGCGCGAGACGAATCAGACATAAGGAGCGCGCGCGAGCGAGCCCTACAGAGGACGAGCCAGCCGGGCTTTAAAGGGGATGTGCCGCTCGCTTTTAAAGGAGAGGAGGGAGGGAAGTGAAGAGAACGGGGAAATTGTCCTCCGACACAAAATCCGTGTCGGTACACAAAGGAGAGAGCGAGGCGTGCCCAGTGCATGAGGAAGGCGGGTGCAGGGTTGCTGGGTGCGTGCTTGTAGCTCTTTGCTTTGCCTTTCAGGACGCAGGGGTGAAAGCGTGCGTGTGTACAATCGGGCGATGGGATCTAGGAAAGTAACCTCCTTGAAGTGCGTCGTGTAGGGCTGGAAGACATCAAGCAAGAGCCGTTGTCTTTGGCTGTGTCCACTCACGCACGGAATATCAAGAGTGTTTTGAAGCCATCCGAGGGACAACACTCAGAGAACACTATATCATTCATCATATGAGACTCACATCAGACACTTATTAATGAAACCGATTTTGCACGTTTGGTTGGCGATGATAAAATTTGGTTCACACTTTACACACGCATATACGTATATCAGGCAGTTTCAGTAAAAAGCATGTTGCTCCAATGATTGTAGGAAATACACAATAAAGTTGGGTGTGATTGATCTTTAAATTTCTCCACCAAATATGTAAGCAGAGACTCTGGGTGGAGGATTTCTTTGGATGTCTCTAGGGAAAGGATAAATTCTCCTGATAGTTTCTCAAGGGCTGAATAGTCACTCCTTTGCAGTGGCCAAAGCTGGACTATCAAAAATGCTCCACCAAAGGGTTTTTCTCATGTTGGCTTCCCTTGAGATGCAGTGGAAGTGTGGGAAGTCAGGCGGCAACCCCTCCCCACCACCACCAATGAGTGCAGAAAGATATTCATGCACAGTTTAGCCACCTGGTAACTGGTGGTTAAGTGCAAGACTACCACGTTCCAAGAAAACCTCTGAAATTCTCACTTGAAATAATTTCTAAAACAAATTCATCAAATTCAATGAGGGATGACAGAAAAAAAATGCAGGATTATTTATCTAACCAGTATTATAGGAACATTTTTTTCCTAGAGTTGTACCATAGAATTAATTGTACAGTTGGAGGTGAGTGCAGAGGTCATCTGTTCCCCACTCTTGCGTGGTGCAAGATGACCAGTGACTATCTGCACATCAGACAGACAGCTCTCCAGCCTCTGCCTGAATGCCTCCAGTGTGGACAGCTCTTACTGTCAGGAAATTCCTCCTAATATCTCACCCAGTGTTCTTCAACCTTGGCAACTTTCAGATATGTGGACTTCAACTCCCAGAATTCCCCACCCAGCGTTGCTGATCTAATCTGTAATTTCAGCCCACTGGTTCCCATCTCCCCTCTGGAGCAAAAGAGAACAATGCCACTCTCTTTCTTATGACAACCATTTAGTTGCCTGATGACTGCTAGCATCTCTCCCTTCAGTCTTCTGTTCCAAACATACCCAGTTTCTTAATTGTTCTTCATAGGACTTGGTTTCCAGCCACCTCACCATCTTGGTGGCCCTGTTTTGAACTCATGCCAGTTTCCCAATGTCGTTTCTGGGCTGTGGTGCTCAGTATTCAAAGCAGAACCTGACCAATGCAGAGTAGAGTGGGACAATGATTTCTCACGAATGAGAAACGAATGTGTTCCTGTTAATACATCACAAAATAGCATTTGCATTTTTAGCAGCTGCCTTACAGTGTTGTGCGCCAGTTGCACTCTTTCTTGGATCAGGAGGCCCTTCTCTCAGTCACTCATGCCCTGGTCATCTCCCGTATGGACTATAGCAACACGCTGTGCATGGGACTACCCTTAAAAAGTATTCGGAAGCTGCAGCTGGTGCAGAATGTGGTGGTGTGAGCAGTTATGGGCACCTCTAGGACTGCACGTGCACATCTCTGCTGCATGAACTGCATTGGGTGCCGGTCTGCTACTGGGTCCAATTCAAGGTGTTAGTTATGACCTTTAAAGCCCTCCATGGCATGGGCCCAGGTTACCCGAGGGACTGTCTCATCCCCATCATATTGACCTGCCCTATCCGGTTCAGCAGGTGTGTTGTGGACCCCGCCAGCTAGAGAGCTCCAGCTGGTGGGGTCCAGGAGGACAGCCTTTTCTGCCATGGCTCCTGCCCTCTGGAACATCTTGGCCCCTGAGGTGAGGTTGGCCTTACTCTGTTGGCCATCCAAAAGGGCGTCAAGATCTGACTCTGCCAACTTGCATGGGGACCCAACAGGGGTTCGCAGCACTGGGGGTGGTTGGTGGCTTGAGGATGCTGTCTCCACCTTTTTAGTTTGTAGGTTTAACTTTTTAGTTTTAATTTTAACCTTTTGTAGTTTTTGACCTGTATATTTTCTCTAAGATTTTATAGTTTTTGACTTGTAGCGCTGCCTAGAGTCACTTGTACAGTGAGATGGGTGGAATATATAAATTTGAAAAATTTGAAAATAAATAAAATAAAAAAATAAATGTGACTAAAAAAAGGTGGTGAGGCATGTGTGAAGAAATTTGTATTGTGGGTCAGGAATGAAGTATTGCACACCTCAGATAGAAAAATGTTAACTCAAAATTGTAACATCCAGCTCGCATATTTATTATTATATTTGATAGATGATTTGGTTCTGCTCTATGGCTGCATGTTGATTTCAGCTAAAGAGGAAAAATCTGGTCTTTGCTTATAGAAATAGGCTAGGATCGACATGGAGCTGAGCCATAATGTTCATTTGTTTTTGACATACAGTACTGTGTTGGAAGAACACAGCTATTGTAATCACTAAATCATGTTTATGGGTAAGCCTAATGAGTGAACTCAGCCATTATAGTTTATTTAATAAGCAATTGTTAAAGCAAACCACAGCTTAGCATGGTGTATAGACCCCACTGCAGAATATCAGGCTTGTGTGACATGCAAAAAAGATAGAATGCAATATGTGTGTCAATTTTGCAAAAGTGGGCAGTTTACCATATGTTTAAATTTATCCAAGATGACATGTAATTGTTGTTCACATCTTAACTGATATGTTAACTGATGAAGACACTGTTTATGTAAATAAGTTTTCTTACCATGAAATTATGGGCTTGAAAATGCTTTCCTTTCAAATAAAAGTATATGCATAGAATGGCCAGTGTTGAGTGGGATTCAAGAGCCAGGGGTTCAATGCTTCATGAACAGTTGATGGTGTGTGAAATGCAGACACAATGACATTGGATATCCCTAAGTCTGAAGAGCTATTTTCAGATACTCAGCATTTGATCAGGGGTTGTGCTAAATTCAGGATGGCAGACTAGTGAGAGCCTCTTGACCTTTGAGTCCTTTCAGGCCATGCTGGTGGCTCCCCAGAAATGCATCCAGATCCATATGGGTTCGCACTGAAAATGCGTCTGCTGCATTTGAGAACTGGAGTTGCACATTGCCTTTTGCCCCTGGAACTCACACGCTGTGCTACTGCTGGTCCCTTAGGAAGCAGATGTGCTGGTGGAGCAGTTGCCTTCTAGAAAATCCCTATCTTAAATTCTTTCTGAAAGCGCAGCTCATGATTCACTTGTGGAATTCGTAGTCTGCGTGCATTTGGGCAGAGTTACACCAGAGCTCCAAAGCTTAAGCCAGAGAGCTTGTCTAGCTGTAGAACTCCTGCCAGGAATGGTTCTGAGGTTGCAGGCAAGAGATGCCTGAAAAAGAAACAGGCTATGTGAAGAAAGGACAGAGAATTTGGGGGGAAATATTTAGAATAATCATGTCCAACTGTATTTCTTCCCTTCCCCTCCAAAATCTTTAGGAACACCGCCACACATTTCTGAGATGGTGAGGGGACAATTTAGACCCTTCACCTCTTTTGCCATTTCAGTGTTTGCTCATTGTGTAAGCTGCCTTTGGCTGGATTCATGTAATACATCAATCCAAAAGAAAGCAAATCATTTTACTGTTCTCCTTAACACCAAGCGTGAGCACAAGCACTGTGTGAGGCTAGCCTTCCAAACAAGTATGTGCTGATATCAGAGGATGCTGAGTCCCCCGCAACCTTTTCACATTGACCATTATCTTAGAGTTAGACTGGTTTGAGGTTTTTTTCCCCCCTGATGGTGATCGTTAATATATCCTTAATGTAGTGTTTCTATGTCTCCACCAATGTAAGGGACATTCCCAAGAGGCACATAAGCCAACACATGCAGAGGCCACGTGCAGTGAAACTCCCAGTCCACATGGCAGAAGAGCACTGTAGGACTCTTAAATGTTGCTTTTGTCCTAGGGAGGTTAATTCTTTCAGCACCGGAAACTATATACTTGATGTTTGCTGAAAACAACAGGCAGCAAGCAAATCATAGTAGAAGAGACACTGGACCTTTCTCCTTAGTACCCAAAAATAGTGGGAAGGGAGAAAGAAATCAAGCTCACGGGTTTCCAGATTATATGCCGAGAAGCTTCTTCTTTGGCTAATTCAATCAGAACTTCCCTGTTTGAGCCAATGCATCCTTCACCCTGGACCTCGCTCCTTCAGTAGAACTAACAGGGTTGAGAAATATCCCATGTCCTGCCCTGTCAGTCATGATTTCTCACCTCTGGCTTAGTATTGGAGGTTTTGATATAATCCTGGGGCAGAGGGGAAGTAAGATGGAAAATTGGAAGGGAGCTATTGCTCCTTACCGCAGACACAAGAAGGAACAGGAGAGCCATTGATGGCTCTGAACTGGATTCTGGATCACTAGGCTTTGGAGAAGTGACATCAGTGCAAACCCTTTCTCGTACAAATGTATCTAATTGTATATATTGCTTGTTCTATTGCCTTGGAGAAAAAAAGTGTCTACAGTTAGGAAAACATTTAACAGAAAGTGGAGCCTGGAACTGATGTGCCTTCAGGTCCCCCTCTAATGCTTGCTAGACTCCCTGCTCCAACTGACTGAGATAGTAAGGTAATATGTCAGCCTCCTAGATCATCTCTATTGTTGAGAATGCCTCTGGGGTTCAAGTGGGCACCACATTAGCATTCTTAAACCATAAAAATGATGAGTGCCTTGTTGTTGTTGTTGTTGTTTAGTCGTTAAGTCG